GGAGTTGAAAAAACAAGTTACATTTTTATGGAAGGATTCACACTACACTGGGAATCTTCAACAGTTTATTCCCCAGAGGATTTTAGGTTTAGAGAGAACAACCTGGGCTAGTGGAAAGTGTCCCTGCCCATGATAGGGGATGGAATGAGGTGAGCTTTAGGGTCCCTTCCAACCCAAACCATTCTGGGATTCTCTGACTATGGATCAATGATTCCATCATTACCAGCGACTTCCTTTGGCCTGCAGGTATTGTTTGGAGGTAAAACTGAGCTGGTGTCTGCCATATGCTGGAATGGACTTAAACACCAGAAACCTGTTACAACTAAATCTTGTGGAAGCAAAAATTTATCACTGAAGAATTAATCTCTTGTTTATTATCAGGTGGTCCCAGTGCTGTTGGACAGGCTGCACAGAGTTGGCTGGCCATTGAATCTTGGGGATTTCATCAGCATTTGCTCTCCAGATTAATAAATTTACAGGAAGTGGGTGTTTTATTGACCAGAATTTGTATGTAACAATTAGTTTGAGATCCTGAGTGGCTGCCTTTGGAGTTGTTTGAAGGAGGAGGTTTTTCATGACTGAGAGTTGTTGTTTTTTCTGAACAGGATGCACAGGAGCTGTAGAAAATTCCTAGCAGTGCTAGCTGCTAATCATGGCTGTGGGAACTACAGAGCTGGGTGGAAAATGAGGAATTTATGTTGTTAATGATGAAGTGTGAGATAACCTGTTTCATTCTGTCTGAACAGCATCAGGGAAACAATATGGGGTCAGCTAAAAATTAGGGAGGGGAAGAAACAAAAGGCTGGCAGAAGTTCCTGCCTCAGCCTTGGCAGTGGGGTAAGTTTCTGAAAGAAAATAGAAACCAAAGTGGAATCATGGAATGGTTTGGGTTGGATAGGATACTGAAGTTTATCTGATTCCAACCCCTGCCTTGTAGGTACCATATTTCCTTTTCCATAAGGTCCAATCTTGGCTCTGCTGACTTCAAAGACCATTTTTAAGGCTTCTCACCTGCCAGCATCTTCAATGCACCATTAGCATCTTCAAGGGGTCATTTTTTGAAATGCTGATAATTTGCTATTTAAAACCTAAAATATTTCTATAGAACAGATTGATTATTGTTTCACCACTGAGTTGTTATTTAAAGCAGGCAAGCTCATGGAAGGCACGTGGAGCAGGCAGATTTTGCTGGTTGCAGTGTATTCAGATGAACTGGCTGTATTACATGCCCTGCTCCCTTGACTGGTGCTGGCTGTGTTGGTTTTTTTCCACCTTAGCTCCAATCAATCCGAGGCTGGCGGCTTTTCATTAGCTGCTCCTGCTCCCACGGTAATGTTGGGATTGCAGAGCCTGCTGGCAGTCTGTAACTTCCCCAGGTGCCCTGGAGCTCAGCAGCCTAAGCTGATTGACTCAGTTAGGGCCCCAGTCCCTAACAGCAAATGCAATCAATAAATCTTTGTTGGTAAATAATTGCTATCGAACAGAGTTTTAATATAAATTTATGAGTGGTGTTTTATCACAGCTTGAGGCTACAGCAAGCCACTGAGTGATGGATTTCAGATCACACTTGCATTCATTACATTAACTTTGTAAGTTATTTAAAGCTTGTACACTTAACATTGCTTTTGGCTTGCAATGACCTCCTGGGAGTAGACGTAGCACACACATTACTAATGGAGAGCCGGCTCCGTTCGCTCCGTGGATCCTCCAGCAAAACCCAGGGACTGAGCTCCGTGCACTCCACTTGGAGCCTTTTTCCTCCAACTCCTTAAAACCACAAGCTGGAGCACTCACCATTCCTCCCATAAACAACACAGAGTTGCAGTTTTGGAGGGAAGGTGGTAAAAAAAAAAGGCAATTTGAGGTGTGAAGTTCTCGGTTTGTGTGGAAATTGGAGGTGTTAAATTCTTATTGTTGAGTCTGGAGGCTTTGGGTCAGCTGCACCCAGCTACCCATGGAGGGCTGTAAGAAGTTAAAGATTTCATACAAATTCAGGAAAATAGCACTGCCCAACTCATAGTGATTTGAGACAGGGATTGTTTAGACCAAAAAAAATGGTATTTGGAATAGATGACTCAGTCGCTTACTCCATAGCTTGGGGACTCGATGGGATTTTTCCAGTGTGCTGTGTGTACATGGGGACCTGTTTGGCAGTGACTGGGGATGTGCCCAAGCTGCCTCTGAATTGCCTTGGAGGTACCAGGGGTCAGTGGGAACCCCTGGATCTCATTTCCCTGGCACAGCATCTAATGTGACCCCCATGTAGCCATAATGGGACGGAAGCAAGGGGCTCTATTTTTTATTTTCTTTTAAGTAACATTTCCTGTCATTTCTGGGCCATTTATTATTCTTAAGTGTAGCTAACATTAAAGTGCATTTATAACTGATCTAAACTCTGATTCTAAGACCATTTCTTCAGACCATTGTATAAAATTACTACAAAGTGGTGGCCTTGGGAATAAAAACTGTGGTTTGTATGGGCTGCTTTGCTTTATAGCACTTTAAGTTAGCTCCTTGTATTCAGAGCAGTTTGCTCTCCAGGTACTTCAAGATACTTTTAATTATCACATAATGTGAAAATGATTCTGTTTGCTGAAGGAATGCCTGAAGAAAATGGATTGGGAAGTCAGGTTTGTTAGTTAGGCAGAAATAGGTCCATCATCTGTATTCAGTTCTGAGATGGGCAGGTTGGTTTTTGTTTGGTTTTTTTTACATCAAAGCACAGAGTTCTGCTTTAAAAACATGGTAAAACCTCATTTTGAATAATTTTCTTTATTTAGATCCAAAACTAGAATGTCATAATTCATACTTAGATAGTAACAGAAGTAAGCAGTAAAAATCACGACCATGGTAGACTTTTACTATTTATTGAGATTATAATTGTCATGAATTTAAAATTATGTAAGTAATGACATGTTTTCTCTATAGCAAAGGGGCAGTTAAAAGGTTATGAAATATATACATTTTACTGGTTTTGAAGCCAGTAAAAGCTGAAAAAAAAAAAAAAAAGGCAGAGGGGAAAAAAAAATCACCATTGTGATCCTTACTGCTTTTTCCCCATTAGAAGGTCTGAAGAACAAACCAGTGCAAGGAAACAGTAATTTTTGATCCCCACGGCACAGCACTAACTAGAATTGGGTCCCCCTAAACTCTAGCGCTGTGCTGCAGGTGAGGTATGAAAGATGGGAAAGGTGAAGAGACAGATCACCTCCTATAGACAAACAGGAGAGTCAAAGGCAGAAATAAGCTTTCATTTTTTAATAGAAGAAAACAACGTCTCCAAGCGCTGGCAGGCGGTAATTGGGATGAGCAGGAGCTTTTGTGAGGAGGCGTTTCAGAAGCCCCATTCTCCTTGAAAAAGTTTGAGTTCTAGCAAGGAGCAGCACAAAAAAATACAGACATGTGACCCCCAGACAGGCAGAAAGTTGGGAGTTTGGATCACTGTGCTATTCAGGTGTCCAGCATGAGCTTTTCTTCACGGTCCCATCCGTGGAGGGGGTTGGATTTGGGAAAGGTTCTCCTCTGAAGTTCTGTTCCAGCTGTGTGGCCAGGAGCAGGATTTCTACTTGAGTAGAGCTGACCCATGTCCCCTCCTGGCTTGGGGATTGGGTCACTTCATAAAGCTGCAGGTTTAATGGGAAAATAAACAGTGGAACTTATTTTCAAGGTTTAAACCACTGTTAACAAGAACAACTCCATAGGAGTTGGAAGCACTGTGCTTGGTAGGACATCTTTCTATGTTCTGTTTTCCCTTTATTTTAATTGCCTTGTACAGTGAGAAGGGAAAAACTTGCTTTATAGGGATTAGGGAGCTGAAGTTTGTGTGGGGTGGATTCCTGGTTGTCATTTATTGAAATGGATGCGTGTCCACTTTGTCAGAGCTTGATCTGTGACACCAGTGTGTCCCTGTGGTAGGTACTGTCCATAGGATATCCCCTGGACATTCCAGTAAGGCTTTGCACAGCCATAATATTGTCTGGACCCATTAGGAACTGCCTACTGGCTGGGGTTTGGAAATTAATATTTCCTAAGGAAGTGCATTCTTCATTTATTGCCTTGAGTGTTCTAGAGCTTGTGGTATTTTATTTTTCAAAGTGAAATTCTGTTTTGCAGCTGAGAACAGGTAGCAGTTCCTGTCTGTTTGTCTATTGGAACACAATGATGACTTTTAATCTTTGCTGTTGATGAGAAGCTGTGGCTGCCCCATCCCTGGCAGTGTTCCAGGACAGGTTAGACAGGGCTTGGAGTAACCTGGGACAGTGGAAGGTGTCCCTGCCCATGGCAGGGGGTTGGAACTGGGTGCATTTTAATGCCCCTTCCAACCCAAACCATTCTGGGATTCTGTGATTGTTGGCATTCATCCCTGACTGAATATGGTGGAAAGGTGATTCACTTGGCCCAGCTCCTCTCCTTTCCAGTCACCTCTCTGTCATTAAATTAATCCAGGATTTACTTGAAACACTTTGTATTTGCTCTGGTTTTCTTTTGCTACTCTTGCCTGGGATTGGGGTTTCTTTTGCTGGAATCAGTAGCCAAAGTGGCTTCCATGGTGGTGTCACCTTTGTGCAGGGGGAATGAGAACACAGATGTGTGCTCTTCTGTGGGCAAGGAAGCCCTAGGAGCACGCTGGAGGGAGGCCACACAAGCAGGACCCTCCCTCAACCTGGGGCTCATCATTTGTTTTAGAGGGTAAGGAAATGCAGAGCATGGTGTCTTCATCAGATAGGAATCTATGTGGGTCACACTAAAATGTGCTTTCCTGAGGTGTGGAATTCAATGAAAAAGGAGGTTTTTCTACCCATTGGACAAAGCCAGTGGAGGGAATGTGCATTGTGGGAGAGGCAGAATGAGGAGCTTAACTCGCAGGAGAAAACCTCTCTCAAAATGCTGGCAATTACTCTTCTTTCTCTCTGTGTCTTGGGCAGTTGGGTGTTGTCTGGAGGGCAAAAGTTTTCAGAAGAAAAAGGGTTTGACCTTTTCTCTCTCTCTCCCCCCACCAGGGGATGCTGCTAAAGCGGAGTGGCAAGTCCCTGAACAAGGAGTGGAAGAAGAAATACGTGACACTGTGTGACAACGGCGTGCTGACCTACCATCCCAGCCTGCACGTGAGTACTCCCTGCTCTGGAATGCTCAGTCCTGCAAAGCAGTGCCAAGTGTGCCTTTGGTGAGACCACTGTGGTGGGGGAGCTTCTTTCTTCATTCCCCTCCCTCTCAAAGAATCATCACCTGAAATAAAACTCCCTGCTGCAAGTCTGAGTGCACTCCACTTCTCTGAATCCACTGGGGCTGGGGCTTCCTTGCATCCCAAGAGGCTGCTGGAACTTTTAAAGGCTTTTTTTTTCCTGCTAATTTCTTTTATGGATTTGTTGTTGATCCCAGGGTTAAGAAACAAACATTTTACAAGAAAAAATTTCCTAGAGGTAGTAAAGAGTGAGGAGAGGTCTCTGTCAGTGTGCAGGGCTTGTGGTTTATTCAGGAGTAATTCTGAGCAGCTTTCTGGAAATGGCTTAGCCATTAAAATATGTTCCATACAACTTTTCTATGTTGAGGCATCTATCCCTGTCCCAAGGATGCTGTCTGCCCCTAAGAGTGTGTGGCACAATTCCTAGTGTGGATTTGGGGGTGGAAGGAGCACAGAGATCCTACTCAGGAGTAGCCCACCCCAGGAATCATGGTGTGATCCTCACCAAGGTTAGATAAATAACTCAAGGGTAATGTATATATCTATACATACAGACGTATTTATATATGAGGTATAGATATAGATGAGATAGAGATGAGATATATAGATATATAGAAATATCTATCTACACACACACACACACACACATATATATATATATCTGGCTTTATGTAATATCTGATCTTGTATTTTAGCATCATCCCATGTATGCAAACCAGAGGGTTGCCACTTGTAATATTTTTAGGGCCAATTGTTTCTAAGCCTGCTGGTGGCATCTGGAGCTCCTGGGCACTTTTACATTAAGGAGTGAAAATCAAGGTTTTGATGCATTTTCTATAAATTCTGGGGTTTATAGACCTGCACCTGAAACTGGCAGGAAGCTTCTGCTTAAATGGGGTGGTGTCTGAGGAGATGGAACCCTAGAATCATTTAGGCTGGAAAGCATTCTAAGATCATCAAGCCCAGCTATAGCCCAGCACTAAACCCACACCTCCAAGTGCCACATCCATGTCTGGCCCCGCTTGCTGTTCCCTGTCTGTGGGATAATAGCACTTTTTCTCTGCCTTGACACAAGATTTTATAGTCTCAGGTCCTGCCATAATGATGCTTTGCTCTGGTTTCTGATGTGATGTCCATGTCTCTTAAAAATTATGTGGTAAATTAGATGACAAGTAGCTTCAAGGCATTGCTGCTTCCCATCAGAAACCTTGTCCCTCAGCCCGTGTTCTGGAGCAGGGTTTTCACTGCTCCTTTGTGTGATGTGGTTCACATCTTTCTGCCCAATTTGGTCACTTTTAGTGCCTCTAAATTTGACTAATTCTGCCGTGAAGCAGCCCTGAAATACCCAAATTTGTGTATTGGTATTGCTCCCAGAAGGGGAGCAGAGATACTGCATGCCCCCATGGAGCTGCCACCTGAGTCTGCCTTAGATTGTGCTGGTCATCAAGCAAGGAGGAGGCTCTTGTGTGTGCCCTGGTCCCTTCCTGGCTGCTGGAAAATGTTCTATTGTTCCTGGCAGGGCTGTGCACGTGTGAGGTTTTCATTGCTCTGGCAGACAATGGAGAAACTTCTCCTCCTCAGGCTCCCCGGAGCTGTGGCGTCGCCCCCAGAGTAAGAATCCATTGAGGTTACACGTAATTACTTTGAGATTAGAGGTAAATCCATCGGAGATTAGAGAGAATCCATTTAAAGAAGAAGTAATTACCAGCCTGTAATTGTTTCCCTCTGTCCCCCACCGTGCCCCCCCACCCCAAGAAGAAGGTGCTGGGCTGGGTGTCTCTGTTTCCTCCTTGCGTGGGTCGGAGGGGTTCGTGAGGGAACCACAGATATTTCAGTCAGTCTCACTCCCAGTACACTTTGTACTAAACTTCCTTGGCAGGAATGGGACAATTTCTTTTTGGGGATTTCCAGCTGAGAGGTTCTTCCCCCAAACAGAATACCGTGTTTTGGTTTTGCTGGTTTTGTTTATTAGTAATTTTTTGTTCCTTTTTTTTTTCACAACTAAGCCAAAGTGATGATTTTTAATGCTGTGCTTGCATTGCTCTCTGGGATAATTTCTTACATTGTTTTGAAAAATCAGAGCCTTATTCCTACCAACTTTTCCATTAAGCAGCAGTGAAGAGCTTTTGTTAGCCATCTAAAATCAGTTTTGTAAACTTGTGTAAAGCCTGGCTTTTACCAGATTTAGATTGTTTCAAATGTCTAGGTCATTTTAGCTAATCAAAATGTTGCCCTTTTAATTCTGGAGTGCATTTTTAATTGCAATGAAAGGTGGGCAGCTGGCCTCTAGTGGTGGCAGAAAAAGGAAATTTAGGAGATGATTTGGTCTGTCCAGCCTGTGGTTTGAGTCAGAGCGAAAGATCTTGTGTTGGAAGGAGCAATTACACTGTTTAGTGGCTGTTAGTGAGCATTGTGTTCAATATTGCTCGAGGTTTGGCCACAAGTTGGATCAGTTGTCTCTGCCAGATGCGTTCGGTGGCGGCTCAGGCACCAAGCAGTGGGTTTAACATAGAAAATAGGTACTGCAGGATCCAGCCCTGACATCCTCCTCGAAAACATTGCCTACAGAATGAAAGGTTTTGGGGTGGGGAGGGGAAAATCCAAAGAGGCCCTTCCTTGCAGAGGAGGTGTCCCTGGGAGGGTCAGGCCTGTTTGGCAGGGCAGCGTGCTGAAATGAGCGCCGCATTGTGCCAGCTACATCAGCCACTCCTGGTGCCACCAGCTTGGTGTTGGACACAATAGAGAAATCCCTCTCGTTTCTTTCTTTTCAAGAAAGTGAGGGGAGAGGAAAACGGGGGAAGAAAAACATACGTACATAAGCACCCTACTGTTTCCTGACTTGGTCATGTCAGGTTTTTTCAAGAGCCTCAAACCTTCCCGTCCCTTGGGATGCCGAGGAGCTCCGCCGATAGAAAATGGTTGGGGATAATGAGAGAGAACTTTGACCCGCAGGCTTCAAAGTTCACCAGAGCTCCCTATTCATCTTGGGCTTCTGGAGCAGAGGCGTGGAGTGGATCACTAAAATTCTGGCCGGCAAATTCCGTGTCAGCCTTCCCAAAGGGCCCCGGGGGAATTTGTCGAGGCATCTCCTGGCTTTTTAATGGCGGGATGCCCCGCGCAGGGGCTCCCGGAATGCATTCGCCGGGATACCTGCTGGGCAGCCCTGCTTTATCTGAGCCTTCTCCTGATGAATAGCTGGTGCTGGCTCACCACTGGCTGCCTGCCACGGGGTTGCCAGCGAGCCACAGGTCAGCGCATGACAAAGCTTTAGCTGTGGATGTCCATTCTCTGCTCTTGTATCTTCACCATTGCTGCACCTCATTTGTGAAAAGAAGAAAAGGGTGGGGGAAAAAGGCTGAAAACAGCTCTCTTCTGGTAAGGGAAGTTTTCCTCTTTTATGTTTAGCTTGGTCTAGGTTTGATTTCAAATAAAAGCACAGTGCTGGGGCACCTTATGGGGGAGGAAGAGCTTCTCAAATACGTGAGAAGGAGGGTGCGATGCCCATCTAGAACATCTGGTACACAAGCCCCACGTGTTACACAGCAAGGTTAGTGTTTGCTTGCTGCAGCCTTTAACCTTCATCTTCACTGCTCCAGTGTGATGAGCTGTGGCTTCTAAATGTGATTGGGAGGGGGATATCTGCCTTTATCTCCGTGAGGGAGGTGTGGGTTCACCTGGTTTGCTCAATTCATCTCATGGTAGCCACAGTTCCAAATTGTCCCTTAAATATAGTGCTGGCTGTGGTTGAGCAGCCCTCATGAACATTAGCAGTGTTGTTTTATCCTCAAATATATTGGATGGTTTTTCTTTTTAAAAAAGGCATTATTTCATCCTGGTAAGGAGTCAGATCCAACACTGAGCTAAACTTGGCCCAAGAGCTTCAGAAATACATTACATGGGCATATTCTCTGGGAAGACCCTACAAACACCATAAAATTCCTGAAGGCTTGAGGTGTCATATGAGCTTTCTCTGCTTGGCCGGTGCCTCCAGAAAAAGCAGGTGGTGAGAAGCAGGAGGCTTTTGAGAATGTTCTCTGTGTTGGTATCTGGAAGTGTTGTGGCTCCATGCACAACTCAGGTCCCAGTGTTTCTCTCAGAGCTGCAGTTGAAATTTTTTGTTACCAGCTCTTGTGATTTTCCTGAACTATTTGGAAGCAGAAAGCCTGCTTGCAAACACAGGATCCCATCTCCCCTCACCCTTGAGAGCAGTGTGGTGTCCTGTGTGGCCAGTCAGCAACCAGAGCCTGGTGCTGCTCCAGCCGAGGGAACCGCGTTCCCCTTCCCGTTGGGAATATCCCCCACAGCCACGGCTGCAGCTCAGCTTTATTTCCAGGGTTGTGTTACCTCAGGAGGTTCAATAGCTCGGGAGTGTGTTGTTTGTGTTGCTTTAATAGAAATATTCATGCTCATATATTTCTAAAATACCATTTTGTATGTCCATTGCCCCCCCATTTTTGCTCTGAAGGAATGTAAAGCTGGATATTGGCTGGCTCTGAAGGGCCTTTTAACTGGCATTTCCTATCAACAACTAATCCTCAAAGCAGCCTTTGGTAAATAGAGACTTGGACTGACAAAAGGCCAGGCTGGAGAGGGTTTGGAGCAACCTGGGATAGTGGAAGGCCCCTGTCCATGGCAGGGGTAGAACAGGATGGGCTTTAAGGTCTGTTCCAGCCCAAACCATTCTGAGATTCTGTGTCACTTTTCACATGTGATGTAGCTCTCCCTCCTGAGAGAGCAGTGATCAAAACAAATCCTGTTTTTATCTGAGTATGGATGAGGATAATCTGAAGCTTTTATTGTAGTTACTATTTTGTCCACTAGCATGCCTAAAACTTTGGTTAGGATAGAAAAAAATGAATTATGGGAACAGTTCAATATGATGTAGTAATTTCTGATTTTTATAAAGTCCTGTAGCTGTACAGA